TCATCTTGCCATATTCTCTTGGTTGCACCCCTAGAAAATATCCATGTTTCGTCTAAATATATAAAATTCGCCCCTTCTTCTTTAAATTTAGAATATTTTCTTAGAAAGTTAATTCTCTTGTGCACGATAGAACTTCTTTCACAAAGGGCCTTCCTGTTATCCTCCTTTTGAAATTTGAAACCCAAGTTATGTATCACTTGCCATAGACTTGTTCTGCCAATGTCGTCAAATTTTCTATCTATATTAATTCCGAGAGAATTGTATTGTTCCTTGTTGGCCCTCATTCGATAAATGGTATCACGAATTTCAAATGTCTTTCTATCTGGAATATCTTTCATTTTCAATGATGGGCGAGCAGTTCACTATTGTGATTTTGTAATACTCTTCTTAATTTGGTTTCACTAATTCCTAGAGCATCGCATACGCGTTGTTGTACAGACATTACCGATTTTAAAGGACCGCCATTTTTTTTTTCATCCGTAAAATACTTATGTATACTACAAATTAGACTATCTACATCTAACACATGTCTAGGCATTTTTAAAATTTCTACTAAATTTACAATATACATACAATGTCAACACTTGCAAAGAATCAATTCAACTGCAATATTTGTAACAAATTTAGTACCTACCCTAACGTTATTTTAATTTAAATCTGACCATTAGGGCAATTTTACCTAATTTCTTGGGAAGAGGCTTATTTGAACTGGTTGTCAATGACTAATTTGCATAATTTTGTTAATCCGAAACCCGCGTAAGTATAGTGAACAGACTGTAAATAGTAGGACAATGGTTTTATTTAATGTACTAGTTTCGATCGTGTCTTAAAACTGATTTTTGTGTTATGATTTATTTAAATTTTTTTAAAAATGGCTATTTTTGCTCTTTATTTTTTTATTCGTATGATGCCATATATTTGGGAAGTTAAATTTTTTTTTTAAATAGTAAGACAACGGCTTTATTTATTGTACTAGTTTAGATCGTGTCTGAAAGCTGATTTTTGAAGGTATGATTTATTATAATTTTTTCAAAACTTCCTCTTTTTTATTCGTTATTTTTTTATTCGTATGACGCGGTATATTTAGGAAATTGAAATTTTTACTATAAATAGTAAGAAGATGAAGCCTATTGATTCTGAAAAAAAATCTGATTGAAAATGGGGGTTTAGGGGGTCTGTTAAACTGTGAAGGATATAAATATAGAATGCCAACCATTATATTCTATCTACATTTCAGTTTGTATTTATATTTATCTCGCTCTATCCGTTTTACATTTAAAGTTACTTTTCAATTGTGTCCTGAAATTTATTTCTAAACTTAGGGTACCTATTTTATGCAATAAACGTGTAATAATTGGCTTAAAAATTTTACTCATATTTGACTTGGGTATTACTATGGTTTGAGATAACCTACATACAATAAAGTTTTAACTATTTCAATATCCGGAAGTTGTTGTGGTAACAAATTAAAACCTGTTGTTCTTACCGTCAGAAAGGATATTTGGACCCATGGAACTTTTTGTATCTTCATCTATTGCTGCCCGAGTCTTTTTGAGATTAGCGTTTAAGCATTTAGCATGCTGTTTGAATAAGAATATTAATAGATTTTTTTTACAGATTGGCAAGATTTCGTCGTATCGCAACTGAGAGGTTGGCAAAATATGAATCTAGACTGGTTGCTCAACTTCACAGGACCAACACACGTAATTTTCTACGAACAGTTGGTTAGCAATACGGAGCACACTTTGCGAACTGTCATAGAGTTTATAGATATACCCGTCGATAAGAAACTATTCAAATGCGCCATCGACAGAAAGCAGGGGATATACAGGAGGCAAAAGAGAGTGTTAAGTTTTGATCCGTTTTCGGATAACATGAAATCGATGCTCAAAGAAAAGGAGATAAAAGTTTTAGATGCTATTTATAACATTGCAGCGCCAGCAGCTAGGTGATTTTTTTTCAGGAAAATATTTTTTAGATCCAGATATATACAGTGCAAACTCAATTTAGTAAAAATACCGACTGAGTTAATAATTTCGCTGCAGTTATTATTTCTATTTTATTGAAATAGGTGAATATTTTCCTGGTATGCACAAAATAGTGCTATGAACGATCGTATTTAGTAGAAACATTGTTGCCATGAACAGGGCCGGATTAGCGATTGTTGAGGCTGTAGGCTAAAAATTACCTAGGGCCCCTCCTCCTCTCCCTATCCAGAACATTCAGCATATTTTATGGTACCTAGGGTAGACATTTTTTTTTGATGAAGTAAAATGTGAAACAAAAATTGATAGGTTCAAAGGTATTTATTAAAATAATATCTTGATTAAAAAAAAAAAAAATTACTACAAAAAATACATAAAAATCAAGGAATATCTAAAAAATAAATAACCTAAAACATTTTCGCTAAAAAAAAGAACATATTATGTAATAAGGTGGTGGTTACTGGTGTGTACTCAAATAAATGCTCGTTTCCGTGATTTTAGGGTTGCAAAACTCTCAATAATATTTTCGGTAGGAATTTTATTGAGAATATCGTATTCTATAGCCAATAAAGAAAGTTGATTAGTTTTTTCATCACCTAATGATGGCTCCTAAACTTTGGTCTTAATCGTTTGGATGCTGCTCCTGGAGCAAATTTGCTTGTAGTACAATATTCTCATCTGAATAATTTTCTAAATATAAAACCCAAACTTATTTGAAACGTTAAGATAAGCAGTTTGTCGACTCTTGATTTCCGCAAGAATGTTATCGATTATAACATGGAAAGTATTTATGAACATATTATCTCTACCACTGAATTCAACTTCACCCTCTTTATTTTCGTCAAATTGTAGTTTTCTACTTTTTTTTCTTTTATTATCGGATTTATATGTGGAACAGTTTGTAAGTTCATTGCCACATTTTTCGTAATATGCAAAACGTTCGCGTTGTTGTGAAACATGTCTAATAAGTGAATCATACAATTTGACTGCTAAAGAAACATCGATTTCAGTAGCTTGTAATGACTTGCTAACCTTATTGAACTCTGTTAAAATATCGTCCCATAATTTTAACAAAATCCCAACTTCCAATTCTTCGAACCGATTTTTAATTCCTTTTGCTTGAACTTTTGTACTTTTTGGCTGTGTAATATCATTTTCGATTCCTAATGATTCTTTAAATGCAGAAAACCCTAAAATAATTGCTTTACAGGAATCCGCGCGAGCAGACCATCGAGTAACAGATAATTTTTTTGGAACGAGAGCATTGGGAATTTTATTGAGTTCTTCTGTCATTATTTGCCACCTATGTGTGGATGCTGAAAAAAAATTATAATATATTTCTTCCAAGAACATAAAAAATGAAGTGGCCATATTACAACACTCCTACCAAATTAAGAGAGTGGGCCGCACAGGGGACAAATAAGGGATTCCTTTTTTTAATGAGAGCTTGCAATCCTGAATATTGACCGGACATATTATTGGCATTGCCATAAGACTGCCCCCTACATTCTTGAATATTTGACTGTAACTCGTCTAATATCTTAAGAACCGCAGTTTCCATGTCAACTGCCTTATGGCCAGTATTACTAATAAAGGTAATAAAACGTTCTATAGGAGAGCCATCACATATAACATATCTAAGAATAAAAGTAAGCTGGTCCAGGTGACTATCATCAGGCGTTGAATAGAAAAATATTTCGCCGATCTGGCTTCACTACTAATAAAATCACGAACGTGCTTTGATAAAATTCCAATAAACTTGTCACAAATAGAAGATGATAAATATGAGACATTACCGCGTCCCGGATTTCCATATTTTTGTAAGTGATTGTTCAAGAATGGATCAAATTAAGCTATTAACTCTAAAAGTCCTAAATAATTGCCGTTGTCATTTCTCCCAAACTTCTCTGTGGTACCCCTGAATGCCATACCTCGACTTGCCAAAAATTTAATTATAGACAATACACGATGCTTAATTTTCATCCAGTAGTTTTTTTCCTCTAAACATTGTTTTTCAATTTCTGTATCTATTTTGCCTAAAGTATTGGAACGAGTTAGAAATATTTTTGTGTTATTTAAATGTTCTTGCGAAGCCTCATGCTTTTCAATTCTAATAATATTTTTCCAGTCATTAAATCCTTTAACAAAAGATTTTTCACGATCCTTGCTAAACAACATACATGGCAAACAGAAAACTGAATTCTTCGACACAGAATATAAGAGCCACTCTCGCCGAACTTCTTCACCATTTCGAAGTTTGGAAAAAAATATTTTTTTAGAGGCGTAGCGTGATTGTAGGCCTTCATACATTCTCTTTGAGTTTTTAAAATCAAAACTGTTTAAATCCTGTATTATCGGTTTTTTTATTAGTGAGTCAATCGTCTCTGAGTTAATGTTAACTAATATTTTTGCAGGATTGCCAAAATCACTATCACTTGTATCAACTTCGTCAGTGTCATTCTCATTGTTTTTATTTTCATTAGCGGTGAGCAAAGAATCTAAAAACAAAATATGCGCTTGCTTTTGATTTAAAACAAAAAATAAAATAAATACCTTCCAAATTTGTTCTTGAAGTTCCTGGTAAAGCATCATGTGACAAATGAATTAAATTAGAGTTCTGTGACTGCCCACTATCAATATGCAGTTTTTTAAAAAACGTGTCTATTTTTGGCACATTTTCTATAGCTTCCGCCTGCCTTACAGCTTTTTTACGTTTTTTTGCCCCACTTGGATAGTTCATAGTTACTCATTTTAGTCACTTAGTCAGTGTCACTACACTATGCACTAATTTTGTTTTTTAATACAAAATACTTTTGTGATTAAATTACGATTATAACGTTTTAATTTTAACAAACGAACATACCCTTAAAAAATGCGTGTGGATTTTACCATACCACCGGGTACTAGACACTAGACGGAATGACGCACGCAGCCAGTGTTGCCAGATAAAGTGCGGAGATAATCGTGTAACTCGGCTGCCAAAAATCGTGTAAAGTCGTGAAAGTATCTTCATTTTCAAAAATACATAAAAACAAGTTTTTTCGAAACATTTTTATTTAAAGTAAATTCGTAACATGTCTTGTTTTCCATAAAACTTTTTGTGTACAAAAGACCTTCTATTGTTTCTGTTTTTAATCTATTGCGAAACTGTGTTTTAATTAGATTGATTTGGGAGAATATTCTCTCTACAGCCGCGCTAGAATGAGGCAAACAAAGAACTTGAAAAACGAACTTAGTTAAATTTGGAAATTTTAGCGAATCTCCTATCTTCACATTGGCAATTTCCTTCCAAAATAGTACATCATTTTCAATATCATCTAGTAGGTAATTTTTTAGCAATCTCCATTCATTATCAAGATCCTGAAGTTCTTCAGGATGAACTAAATTTGTGTGTTTTTCTTTGGATTTTACACAAACAGGATCCAAAAACTTCAATTTTTCTATGGCGGAGTTTTTTAAAGGAAATCTAAGTAATATTTGCTTTGTACTTTCCAAATAAAAATCTAAGCATTTTACTTTAATCGAATGTAAAATATTTTTGTCAATTTTACTTACAGCAATTGATGTTCCAAAGTACATATCGTCAATAGGTAAGAAATTTCTTGGATTTTGGTAATCAATTTCATATACCATGTTCTTCTCTAAAATATCTCGTTTAATAAAACAATCTATGAGGGTTTTCAAAACACATGTGGTTTTTCACTCTGCATTAAAAGATTTAGCTGATTGAATAAAGGTAGTATATATGCCAAGAGATATAATTTTGTTTCCGGCTTTCTAAGTTTCTCTAAAATAATGTCTGCTTGCAGCACTCCTTCAAAGGCTTTCTCTGTGAAATAAAGGATTAACGCGTTATATTATGAAATCAGTCTTTTAACAAGCGATTCTAGGGAAAGCCATCTTGTTTGTGATGGATGGAGGATTTTGTGAGGCAATACATTGGCAAATTCTTGAAATTCCTTGTAGTTGTCAAGTCTTTTGGGCTATTGGAAAAGAAATTGTACACCTAAAACAAGAGAAAACTTTCATAATAAAAAATATGTACACCACTAAAAAGCCGTACATTTCTTGCTAACTGTTCTACTTCGCTGGGTAGCTTCTCGCATGCGTATGATGCGAAAGGATGGAAGCTGTGGCAGACACACTTCATCATAAACAAATTGGGGCATTTTTCCCTAAGTATACTGGCTAAGGAATTATGGGCGCCCATCATGTTGTTTGCTCCATCGGCAGCAAATCCGATAAGATTTGTTTCAAAAGGGATATTGTGTTTTTTAAAAAAGTCATCGATTAATGTAAACAAGGCAGCCCCATAGATATATAACCAAGACAGATAGGATTATTTACAAAATTTTTGAAGAATGAACGGTGGTGTCCGCGGTAGAAACTCAATAATCGGATTGAACATTGATGCCAAGTTTACGTGCTTTTAACTATAGATATATATTTATATAACCAATACAGATTACACAATTTCTGAAGTCAACGCGGATGATTCCCGACAGAAATGTCTGACAACAGCGGAAGTAGAGTAGACCGCAATTGTGGAGGGTGGTATATTGTTTCATTCATAAAAATTCCTTCGATACAGTACTAGGAGCCAGTGAATTTTTTCGTACTTGTTTTCCCGGTCCGTGTATATTTAAATAATCTTTCCCGGTGAACTGTATATTTAAAATGGAACGCCAATCTATTAACAAAAGTAAGCCAGATTGAATTCGCGCATTACGTCACATCGATACAAGTGAGATTGTTTACAAAGTGCCTTTGCAGGCCTATTTTGCCCATTTCATGTATTTGTTTTTAAATCATGTTAAATTACTATTTTTGAAACTCAACAAGGAGAAAATCCTATTAACTCTTCCGTTGTGTATATATATAAGATAAATTAACTGAAGTGTTATTAGTAAAGTATTAATACTAAAATTTTAATGTAATTTACAGAAAATAGCTAGGTATGTATTTGTTTTTAAATAATTTGATAATTTATGAAAAAAGGGACTAAAAGTGGAATGACCAGTGGCCAGTAGGTCAGTCAATACATCTTTTAATCATAAGGACATAAGTTAAAAACCATTTTAATATATGCATTAGAATGAAGTAATAATAACTTAAAGAGACGATGTCTTAAAGTAATAGCTGGTACAGCATGTTTTTTAAACGTTTCCTCATTGCTGCTAGAATGAAATCACTTACTATGAAATGTGCTCTAAAAACGGCATTTATAGCAGTCAGTGTTCAGTCTTAGGATCTCTTCCTAAAGCCCTCATCCAAGCTGCATACATATTAAAAAATAATAAAAAAAAACATATTATATACCTATATAGTTTTCGGTTCTGGGTGCCCTAAAAGAGGACACTTAGCCGACAATTTGGCTCAGATAGCTAAAACCCAAAAGTCACACCCCGAACCAGGACGTATTGCTATCCTTTTGAGTAAAAAATAACTACAAATAACTTACCTGAAAAATGAAGGCGTCTAACTTTACACCAAAAAAACCATACACTTTTTCCCATTGTTGCAAGCACCCGATGACGATTAGGTAGATATCAACTAGAAGCATGTACTTAATGGTTATAAAGCTTATTTTAACACAAAAAGAATAAAGCACTAGTCGAAAAGCAGCAATCAAATATAAATAGACCACAATATAAAAATTCAAATTAAAAACTATATAAAAGACAAATACTCTAAAAGCGCAAAAGATCAGAACCAAATAAAATGAATAACCATAATAACCTAAAAATCACACTAAAATTGCAACTATTACTGTAAAATCATGAGATTACATCAATAATGCATATGCGTCGGAGTATCGCAAATGTCAAAAGTACAGTGTTTCCATGAAAATTTAGCTATGTTTTTAGCAGTATTATAGGACCATTTCTACCACGCGCATCCAACGATATTGGCGTTCCACAGTTCACTGTATTTTCCTCACACATCTAGTATAAATGATTTGACATAACGAAACTAACAATAATTATAATTAATGTAGAGTAATAAGTGATTCGTGAATTCTAAATAAAACAATTATTATATAAAAGTGTAAAAGGAAATGTAATTTATTTCCCTATTTTCTTCTGTAATATCTTCAATTATTATGTTTAATTTCTATAAATAAACCAACTGGTTAGGTGAAACATTGTGATATAAGATTTTATTTATGTGTCCTAGGCGTACACTTTAATATACAAAACACCTGGAACATTCTTTAAATAATTGTGGTCGTAGAAATAATTGTGTACATAACTCGTTTGAAAGTGTATTTTATGCACTTGCCAAATATATTATCCATACAGATTAATCAGACTATTTTTTTACTTAACTTCAGTACATCTCTTACTACTAAAACTATTTTTATCAATGGAAAAAAAGGGCCGTGTTCTCGTATGTTTTGACTCATTTTCGGCCTCAGCCCATCGGAGCCCCCCTCTAAATATATATGAATTTTGCTTAGAATTGCTAATCCTACAATTCTCTATTCGTGCTTGCTGACTGGGAAAATAAATACCGAAAATCGTCACTGTCTCCTGGACTATACAATAGATGATGATGAGAACTTCACAACAAATACACTTCTATGAATGGCTAGTTGGGGATGTGGGCAGCCCCCGTAGCTTCCCTAATTGGCAAAAGGGCTAGAAAGTAGTCCTTTACATTAAAAGTAACCACAACTCGGGCAACTAGGCACAAATGCTTTGAACAGGACCTATTTGTGGATTCATCTGCTATTAAACTACATTTATTTGTTCGCAGTATGTTTATCAGTTGCAGTTTACCTTCATCGCCGGTGACATTTTTTATTACGCTAGTAATTTTTGTACGGCTGCATTTAATAGCCTGGGCAATTTCAGAATCCGGGCAAATACGTTTCACTATGTTTGGAATATGTTCCATTAATCGTATAGGCAAGTTGTGTTCTGCTATAAATCCAGCAAGTCGCATAACGCCTTCCCATCCCTTTTCTTCGAGATTTTTTGTTTGTTTTCCAAATATTGACGATATAGATGGTTGCGATTTAGCAGATGATATTTCAAGTGCTTCCCGGTAGTGCTATGTTTTTTTAATTCTCCCTTTCCTCTCGCAATCAGTATATCGCAGCTGCAGTATTTACACCTATAATAATAGATACATTATTTTAAACTTACAAAATCAGGTAAAAATCTTACCAGGCATAAACTGGACCCTTCTTACTTGGCTGGACCCACTTCCACTCATTCTCCCACTCTCTTTTATATTTCTGTTTATATTCCGCACTTTTCATTTTTTTCGTAGGTGTGCGAACATCCTCTCTTTTCTGCACATCACTATCACTATCAGAGGTATTAGACATTATATTTACTGGGCAAATACGAAAATGAGCGAAATAATTAAGAAAATAGCACAGCGATTTAATTTCAGTCGGAATAAAATACTAAAACATCACCGTCCTCGACTAAAACAATTACGAACGCGATTCGCGATTTGCTTTTGCTAAAAATGCGGCTAAAGTAATATAAAAATTATGGGAAGTACCCAGAACACACGCACACGAGAATAAATTAGCTCTGTGGGATTCCCAAAATTAATCAGCAGTGTCAACAACTTGATCGCATGAAAATATCTGCATGACCATGAATATGATAAACAGAAGCAGGGACGGAGTTGATATATAGTGACTTAATTTAATTATATTTAATTGAATGTTGAATGGTTTTGAAGTTTCAGATTTTTATTAAAAGTGACGATTTCTTTGGCAGAATTTAAAAATCGTGAGAATTGGCCTTTGATTCGGGCTATATCAAGCTAGCGGGCACTCTGTGGCGGCACCATTCAAGACCTGGCGGGTATTTTGTAGCTTTTTTGTAGCTTTTTTGTTACGCTATTTGCGAATTTGTAGCTTTGCCCAGGTCCGAAAAAACAGCGGATCTGCTAGCTTGAATTTCCATAAATTCCATAGTAGCGGCACAGATTCAGACCCAGCTGGTTTTTCGTAACTTTTTTGTAGCTTTTTTGTTACGCTAGTCTCCCTTTTGTAGCTTGTACTGAACCTGAGAAAAGCGCGGATCCGCTAGCTTAGCGGATATTTGTAGCGACACCAACTCGGACCAGGCTCATTTTTTGTAACTTTTTTGTAGCTTTTTTGTTACGCCTGTCTCCATTTCGTTGCGAGGCCTGAACGTGAGCAATAATCGTTTCTCCATGAGCGTGAGAGAATAGTGCATTAATTTAAAATCAAGTTTTGGCATCTACAAGTAATATGTGCAACTCGATAGTGTGACTATCTGTTGATAGATGGCACCAATATTGCATTTCACGAATTATGGCCATCTTCCATCCAATCTATTTTTGATAAATTTAGATATAATCTCAAAATCGAACATTTGTTGATCGAAGAAACGTGATAAACACCTTCTAAGAGCAAAAAATGAAGGCAAGATAAGAAAATGTTTTGATTTTTTATTTATTAGTTCGAGAGAATTTATTATTGCATGGAAGTCAATGGAAGACAAATTGAACATTTCATTTAAAAACGCAGTTTTGATTTTTTTGATTGTAAGCATGATAAAACAATTGATTTTTTTTAAGAATGTGATTTTTTTCATACACCGTTGTAAAGAGGCTTTCAGGACCTTACAAATGAAGTATCACCCAATCCCTCTTCCCTATTCAATTTTGAGGGGTTGAAGCGCCCCCTTATAGGGGGTTGCTCGTTCAAGCCTCAAATATACGTCAAAAGATGTCCCCCAAAGAAAATCATCAGACGTGTTTCGGGAAATTTTACCATTTACTATGGGATAAGAACTATACGGGGTGGCTCGTCTGATATGGAACACCCTGTATATAGTGAGAATAGGTAATTGCTTGGTAGCTATTACCACCGGTGTGAAGTTAGCAGAACGTTTTTAGCAGTAAAAATAACCGAAAACACCCGATCGGGAAAATAGTGGCGTCCGACATACAACGATTTTAATAATCTTGTCAATATGTATTTTACATTAATATCGGACAAATAATTAATATACATAACGTTGAAAATGTCCGATTTTGAGATTATATCTAAATTTCTCAAAAAAATATTTGATGGATGGAAGATGACCATAATTCGTGAAATGCAATACTGGTGCCATCTAGCAACAGATAGTCACACTATCGAGTTGCATATATTACTTGTAGAGGCTGAAACTTGATTTTAAATTAACGCGCTCATGGAGAAACGATTATTACTCACGTTCAGACCACGCAACGAAATCGAGACAGGCGTAACAAAAAAGCTACAAAAAAGTTACAAAAAATGAGCCGGGTGCCGCTACAAATATCCGTTAAGCTAGCGGATCCGCGCTTTTCTCAGGTTCAGTACAAGCTACAAAAGGGAGACTAGCGTAACAAAAAAGCAAAAAAAAAAGTTACGAAAAACCAGCTGGGTCTGAATCTGTGCCGCTACTATGGAATTTATGGAAATTCAAGCTAGCGGATCCGCTGTTTTTTCGGACCTGGGCTAAGCTACAAATTTGCAAATAGTGTAACAAAAAAGCTATAAAAAAGCCACAAAAAGCTACAAAAAAGCTACAAAAAAGCTACAAAAAAGCTACAAAAAAGCTACAAAAAAGCTACAAAAAAAGCTACAAAAAAGCTACAAAAAAAGCTACAAAAAAGCTACAAAAAAGCTACAAAAAAGCTACAAAAAAGCTACAAAAAAGCTACAAAAAAGCTACAAAAAAGCTACAAAAAAGCTACAAAAAAAGCTACAAAAAAGCTACAAAAAAAGCTACAAAAAAGCTACAAAAAAGCTACAAAAAAGCTACAAAAAGCTACAAAAAGCTACAAAAAAGCTACAAAAAATCCGCCAGGTCTTGAATGGTGCCACCACAGAGTGCCCGCTAGCTTGATATAGCTTTTGATTCGTGTAATCGTGTAATTACACGATTAATCGTGTAATATGGCAACATTGCACGCAGCGCAAGCTTGCCGACGCCAGGGGGTCGATTCTCGACTTGTAGGAACCTTTTCCTATAGGAATTTGTGACACTTTCCTATATGTAGGAGAATGTCATAAATTTTCGATGTACATAAAAATGTCAAAAATTCCTATAGGAAAATATTCCTACAAGTCGAGAATCGACCCCCTGGGATCAACATTCTGGGGTATTCTTCGGAGATGCACATGCAGAGCGCAGTGTTCAGTAGCGTCCGTCGGTCGGTCTATCTTAAATCGCGATAAAAACTGACATTAGCATTAGCGGGTCGTGCCGTGCCGCGGCCAGATTTAGTATAAATAATGATAATTATTATTATTATTATTTTTGTTATTATTACATCATGGTCAACGTATTATAGTAAATAGATGTTGTATACCGTTTTATTTTTTTTATTTGAGAGTAAAGGGCCCCCGCAACTCGAGGGCCCCTAGGCTATAGCCTATCTAGCCTATTGGATAATCCGGCCCTGGCCATGAATAAGAAAACAGGTAGGTACTTGACACTCATTTCGATAACTTTGTTAACATCTTCAATAGAAGATAAAAGTAGGTTGTAAGAGATAAGAATAGTGTTTCGAGTAATTATTTTAACAAATGCTCCAGATTGTTGACTAGGTTAAATCGTTCACGTCTTTAGAAAGAAATTTGAGGAAAAATTGAAATTTTGGCGCATTAGCTCTTTAAAAGTGCCAACAGTACTTTAAATCAGTATTAAGTGTTGATGCTCTAAATATTTTTAGTAAATTGTATGTTGTATTACTAACGGCCTATTATTTAAAAAAAGTTTTGGAATTGAATTAATACTAGTTCTAGGAAATGTTATTATTTACACTTGATTGGCACTAATAAAACTACTTTACAAGATATTTTGATATAGTAAGTTTGCTTAACAGGTTAAGTGCCACGGCGATCACTGGTTATCGACACTGGTATTTTACACAAGGCCACAGCGGTTAGCAGTGACAGACTATTTAATTGAGAAATCAAGTTCTCTGCGGACATTTTCCATTACTTAGGCATATAACTTTGATAGTAACATCGATAAAATACAGGGAAAATTGAAAGGATTGTTTTTTATGTTTTTATGAATTTTATTAAGAAAACTCCGAGAAACTTCATAGAACATAAAAATAAAAAAAAAAACATCTGAACATTATGATATTCTTACCAAACTAAAAAAAAACATTTTTATAAACGTAAAGGTCATAAGTAAGTCAAAATGAGTAGTACAAAATTTATTTATTTTTTGTTAGTTTGCATTGCACTTAGCTATATTTCAGCCAACCAGCAATTTGTCTTTATTAAAAACTTAAGTAAACTTAAGAGGCTTAAAACTAAGAGTTCACCAAATGGTATCTTCTCCTTTCTGTTCTGATAACTATACAATGCACACACGCACTGTGCTCTCCTTTGACACACTTTCACATCACTAAATCAAATGGTTTGGTCCTTCTGAGCCTTCTCATTAGGTATCGGTTGTCCAGGAACTGTAGAACTTCGATGTTGACATGATCATGCAGTCTTTTTTCATGTTTTTTTTTTGCAATGGTTTTCCTCTCTTCTTCTACTGTAGGCATTCTCAAATCTCTGTGTAGGTCTGAGTTTCTAACATACCAAGGGGCGTTTACTATTGCCCTTAATATTTTGTTCTGGAAACGTTGTATTATATTTATGTTAGTTTTACTGGCACACCCCCAGAGCTGTATGCCGTAAGTCCATACTGGCTTCAGTACTTGTTTATATATTAAAAGTTTATTTTCGATTGACAGTTTTGATTTTCTATTCATCAACCAGTACAATTTTCTATATTTAATACCCAACTCTTCCCGTTTTTTCTTTATGCGTTCCTTTCACTTTAATTTAATATCTATGTTCATTCCCAAGTATTTCGCCGAATTAGAATATGGTATTCTAGTATTATTTAATGTCACTGGTAGGTATTTTACTGATCTTTTATTAGTGTACTGTTTTAGTTTCGTTGAACTTAATGCGCCATCTTTTTGTCCACTCATAGATTTTATTGCATGTTGAAGTTTGCTGGTCGATTCTTCTATGGTTTAACCGATGGCAAGTATGGTCGTGTCGTCGGCAAATGTGGCTACTTTCACATTTTGCGTTTGTGGTATGTCGGAGGCAAACAACTGGTAGAGAACTGGTCCCAGGACACTTTATTGAGGTACCCCTGCTTTAGTTTTTTTAAGCTTGGAATATTCGTCTTGTTTAACTCGGAAGATTTTAAGATGTCACAATATTGTCCAGATAGAAGTTTATTTATTTTATATTCAAGGCCCTCTAACCATACTTTATCGAAAGCCTGAGCTACATCTAGAAAGAATGAGGTGTAGATCTTTTCTTCTAGTGTTTCCTCTATTTCATTCGTTATTCTGTGGACTTGGTCAAAATCTAAATTGGTGGTCAGGTATTATATTTTTACTGTCTATCAGTGGTTTCAATCTTCTTGATAAAAGTTTTTCGAAAAGTTTAGATAAAACTGGTAACAGGGATATAGGTCTATAGGACTTCACTTCATTTGGTGGTTTTCCAGGTTTGGGTATCATTATAATTTCAGCGACTTTCCAGATGCTAGGTACATGCTCTAGTCGAAATACAGCGTTTATTATATTAGTAAGTTTAACCACAGCTTTTCTTGGCGCAATTGTGTTAGTATTTCACCTGGAATCAGATCATACTCGGGTGCTTTCTTAGAATTGATATTTTCTTTGATTTCCTTAGCTACCTCTTTAGGCGTAACCCTAGGAATTTCTACTATGTTTGTGTTCTCTTCTTTTAATAAATCGAGTCCTCGTTCTTCATTCGGGTGAATTTTTTTTTCGAGATGATCTGTAAAGATGTCAGCTTTTTGT